GCAGTGCACAAGAAAAAAAGTTGTTTGTACGGTGGGCTCTTGGTCTAGTACTCACTGAAATCTCATTGAAATTAATTCAATTAAATACTCAGCTAATCATGTACAAATCGAATTAGCACTATTTCCCAATTTCAGTAACAGTGTCATGTGTATATATATATATTCCACTTATACGTGCGTGCTCTCTCTCTCTCTCCCCTTTTCCTCTTTTTATTGATATCAAAACCCCTTTTGCCATTTTATTATTGATTGAATGAACGATCTAATTACATATCGTTGAATGAATTACCACGAAAGGGTGGTGGAAAACCGCGCAGTGATTTGTGTCACTCGCCCCATCGAAGTCACAATACAATAAATTGTGTACTTTGTAATATCTATGGCACATGAAGCGAGAAAATTAAATTATTTCGCACATTGATGAAGGAAATAATGATTATTGACAATATTATGTGAGTCGATATCGCACAAGCGACCGAGCGACCGAGTATTCGACGCATGAAATGGCACAAAGCAATAAACAATGGCAAAATCATTGAACTGATTCTTATTTATTTTCCAATTAATTTTCAATTAGTCTATAGACGAACCGGATTGAAGCTGTAAATCAACACTAGCAAAGCAAAAAAGAAAAGCGAAGAAGATGAAATAGACGAATGGTCGTTTATTTCCCGGGAGGAATTTCGAAGAATTGCATTTCCCACTGAAAAAGTGCAATCGAAGCATCGTTATTGAAAAGAAGGAAAAGAATGAATGCGAGCAATTCTTGTATGTTGAAATTGGGACACGGAGTTTTTGCGTGTGAAAATGAAATTGCATTCACAGTGTGTTGACACTTAACTAAATTGCTGTGAAAAGTCTCGTGCCCATTGATGCGAGTACACCGAAATTCGAGTGATATTTATTTTCGATTCCATTTAAGTTTTGTTTTATGGTGCGCGCATTGTGTTTGTGTGTGCATAGCGAATGAATGAACTAGAGCGAGCGCTGGTGAGAAGGATTGCTTTCGACACACACACACACACACACACACATACTTGGCACTTGGACGGTTTTGTTTGGAAAATACTTATCGGTATTAAATTTCATTAGACGAACAAACAAATGTGCGACCGATTACTGAATGTGAACACAAATACCCCCGTGCACAATCTTAAACTGCCGTGTGCTGTATCTCTCCTCCATTTCCTCATTGTTGTCTGTTGGATCAAATGAGAAAACCAAACTGTTCGGTAAATAGTAATTCAATTTCCAATGAAAACGCACTTGACGCCCCCAAAAGCAGGGGTTTTGTAGATTGAAACACAAGCACACTAGCGCCGCAGTTTGCCCTACAATATCATATACGGCAAGCTGCAGAACTATTCATTCAGTATATATCATGCAGCTCAACTGTCAATCTGTAATCCCCCTGCCCAAAAGCATTCAACTCCGTGAGAGATAGAGAGCTTTGCTCGGAAAACATGCGACACCGGACCAAAAAGCAAGCAAATCGATTTTTATTCGATTCATTTATATTAAATATTGTATATATTGTTATTCCAGTGACACACGTATATACAAGCGTTGTGTTGTTGTCCTTTAACCGAAGTGGCTGATATTCGCCATTTGCGTCATACGTGCACGTGTACAAGCGCCAGCAGCAAAGCACATATTGCTTTCGATGGATTTTCCTATTTTAGATGCAATAAAATGAATTCCACTGTTGACACCGGTCGTGCTCTTTTACTCACTCGAATATTCAACAATGATTCGGTATAGATTCCAATCGCGTGCCATGGCTTTAGTCTGATGATCAAATAAACCTCTGCAGTCAAACTAATTTTTTGGTTGTTGTTGTTCATGTTTTTTTTTCGGGCGATCGATTGAAGGTAATAAATAAAAATTGTTGTTTAGTTTGCCCTTTGTCAAAATACCATCTGTTAATAACTGGAATGCGTGCATTCGGTGCTTTTAGTAACAAGTCTATATACACAAAAACCCGATTTAGTCGGAATTTTTGAAGAATTTCGTGACAGAGATTCATCAAACGGATATTTTTTTCATGGTGCTATGGATCGATGCGCCATGTGTGCATTTGCTGTGAAAGTCGAAAAACGATGTTCACGCACAACAGATGAGAACCATTCAGGCTAGTCACAATCGAATTTACATTCGGATGAATAAGCAAAAAAACAGAACCATTTACTTGTCGCATTTTTCTGGGTGAATCTTCAATTTCGATGCAAATGCATTCAATTCCAATAATGCAAGTAATGCCTACGGTCGAATTTTATTTGAAGCATTTGCATTGAGCCATTCGGTAACACTTTTTATGCGATTAGAGATCAAAATTTGACAAAAAATAGTCACACATAAAAAAAATCCAATAGAAAACAGAGCTATGAAATGACATGAAAAACGTCTAAATGTCCAAAAAAAAACGACCTGAAAATTGCAGCCAGAAAAAGATGCGAGAGTGTTAGAAATGTTTCTCTTCGGAAGTTGGACAGTGGAAATAAAGTTAAGAATAACCCAGTTTACTGCAATGGGTATGGATGACACACGTTCGATTCAGTTGTTTTAGTTTGAGAAAATGCGATAGTCCCTTTGAAATGGTCAAATTGAATGGAATGGATGAAAAGCAATTTGATTAACGTAAACGGAAATCGAGCGTAAATGGTGCACACAACATGTCTTCACATTTCAATCGAACGAAGCATAGTTGTTGTCGACAAGCACCGTTCTATTTGTAACTTAGATCTGTTTTGATCGTCTTGAGTGGATGAGTGTGGGAAGGAAAAGTGCAAAAAATGTGTTGCATTGTGAATGACGATGGTAAGTGTGTGCTAACATGTGAATGCTTAAAGTAATCATTTCGGGTGCAAAAGAGATTCCGACGACAATTTCAATCCGAAATTGCTGCATCTGAGATCATGCAATTTTGTCAACTCGTATTGGTGACATATTTTCAGCAATTGCTTTCTCATCATATTATTTCCAAGTGTTTTCATAGTATGAATTACATGAGGATGAAATAAATGAGCATTCGAAATGAATGGAACACATCACTGGAGTGTGAACCGTATAAAAGAACAAAGCTGCACTTGAGTTCACACATTGCTTGCATTTATGAAATGCGTAAGCATGTTCGTACAATGCACTTACTTAAATTGAACACTGAAAACAATGGCCAACAAACACGAAGCAAGCGCAAGAGGGAGAGAGAGAGAAGGGAACGGGCGAAAAATATTGCTGCGCTTAAGAGTGCAAAAGTTTGAATAAATAAATGTACAAATCCAACCTTTTGTGTATACAATGTGGTATCGTTGATGTCACTGCTGTTTTTGCGAAGGGGCGATTAAATCAGATAAAACGCTTACCTAAAAATAAAGAAGAAAATTTTAATTAGTACAACGGGATTGTATAAATTATTTGTGCGATTAAATATAATTGATAATACTCTCAGAGAGTATTACTCTGGTTGATAGGAATTTATGCATGGGTTTATTGAGCGCGCCAGTCTCATTGTATTTATATTTTAGAAACAAATCTAAACCAAATTATATTGACCACGAATTACAGGGAATAAATCAGTGCGAAGCGCGTTTAACAGTGGACAATTTAGTGTACAAATACTATTATTGGAGATAGATACAATGCACTTTTATTGAATCAAATGGAAATTAGAGAGTCGTCGAACCAAAAATGATAGAAAACTCGTTCGGAGAGTAGCCAACACCCATTTGAAATTTTATTATTTGAACAAATTGGCTGGCGCTAACAATTTATTGCCTTCATTTACTTCAATATCTAATGAAGCGTACATTTAACGACCGATGTTGTCGATATGCAAATAATGCGATAAATGGACACCATTCAGTATAATGAGCACCAATTTTAAACTAGAATTTTCATTTCAATACAGCGATTTGTGGGGCTTTTTCAGCAGTAGCAGCATTTAACCGCCAACCAAAATGCGAAACAACATGAAACGTAGGCCTTATTTTCATGGCGCTATTGTAAGAGAATGGCGCTGCACATCTGTTAAAAGCCATTTTTAAATTGCATTTCCTCAATTTCCACATAATTATGCCAAAGGCAGATTTTCCGTTAGCATTATGCACTTTTCGCATTGCCAAACCATTTGAGATATGTGCTAATTAATATTTTATTATATCATCTTTTTCAGTTTTAATTGAATTCATTTAATTCATGAAAATCATTATGCCTTTATGATTAAAAAAAACATCACACTCATCAATACACGCAGTGCCAATGAAATAAATTGCATTTTAAAGTAAACGATTATTATGATAAACATTGTGGTTTTTTCACACCGTGATTTTTCCATTTTCCAAATCAACGTGTGTGTGTGTGTGTGTGTGTCTCGTTTAAATGAAGCGGCCAAATATACTGCGAGCGAAGTGATGTGGTATTCCAGCAGAAAAAAATATTGGCCACAAACCAGTAGAAACGTCACAGCAGGATTTTTTTTGCCTTTCAAATAAAATCTTCTGACTATGGTGAAGTAAAAAATTCAAATATTGATTCCTGATGCTTCTTGTAAAAATTCACTTTTGACTGGCATTTTTTACTGAATGGGAAATTAAAAGCACTTTCCATTACACGACGAATAAATCCCATTATTTTGTTCCGACATTACTTTTATTCAATTATTATTGAATTTTTTATCAGTTGTTTTAGTGGTAAAAGCTGGTAAAAAGTCCCTTGGTGACCAAAGAAAACAAAATTGCAACTGCTCGAAAAATTCACTCGAAATTGATATGTTTTTATAAGGTAATGTTCCCTTAAACGGGACGCACTTTGACATGGTTTTTTATCTTTGACTAGTGGAAATATTTTCGAGAATGTGATATACCGTTGGAAAGAGGATGAGCAAAGGAACCTTTTTGCTCCAGACAGTTTTTTTATTTACATTACAAAAAAAAAATTTATCGCAAAATTTCCGACCATGACGAAAATCGGAAAAAAAATTTGTCCCCTTAAATGGGACACTCCGAAAAACTGAAAAATAAGCGTGAAAATGAAACAATAAGATCATATTTTAAATGTTTATTCATTGTTTATTCATTTAATCGACTTTCGGATTAAAATAAGTGACAAAAGTAATGAGTAATAATTTTTATTCGTCGCTTTCTTGATCTACGACTTCATTTTATAGTTAAGCTCATTTGGGCACACCTGCACTTTATTGACAGTAGCCAAAATTGATTTATTTTTCTATGGGGTCGAGTATGTTTCAAATAAATGCCAATTTTTTCCGCACCCCACTGTGTATCCAAAAAAGGGCGACCATGAAAATCAGGGTATTGACACCAAAGGTCATATCTCCCTAGCCATGGGAGGGAGGGCACTGCTCCTTGGATCAAAATTGTAGTACTCGTGAATATCTATCCAACGGTATACATTACATTTACATTTATTTACATTATGTTTGAAAAACCGATACAAGAAAAAAATTAAATTTTCGGGTCAAAAAAGTAATTTTATCCCCGTTTTCTGGGCCAATGGGTGGATTTATCGTTGGAGTGTGTTGGTAAAAGCTGTAGAGCGACTCACGACGAACAAATTTGCTGTAGACCATTTTGCCCCATCTTGCCCCCATCTTGCTTAACTTAAAAATGCAGAGTGTCCCGTTTAAGGGAACATCGCTGTCCCATTTAAGGAAAAAGCCGACATTTTTGCGAGTCACCAAAAAAAAAATTTTGTGACGCGATATCGAAAAATGGACTTTGCAGCTTTGAAATAGACACAATTTACTAACTATTCAATATATTTACCTTCAACAAATGTTAAAAACACTTCAAACTGTGGGTGTAGGCGAATTGATCAAAAAAGTTTTGTTGTACGCAAATTTCAAGACACAATTTTTTCTCACACACGCGGTACGTCTATTCTCTTCGGAATACTACCAAAAGTGAGCGTTCGTTGAGCTAATCGTTTGGTATAAATGACAGCTTGCTGTCAAACTCAGAAGTCAAAAATACTTGACTGTCCCGTTTAAGGGAGCGTCCTGTTTAAGGGAACATTACCTTATTATATTGCATGGAATATCGAAGTAGTTAAAAAATACAGACGAAAAGTCATAATTAAATGCTCCAACCGATTGTTTTTCGTTGTCAGATTTCAATTATCTCGAACCGTCTGCTATTTGTATGTGGGCAGTGTGGCAAATTGCGGAAAGTCCGTTTTATTTTGCCGTTTGTCATGTCATTTTCGAAACAAACCAAATAATTAACAATATATACGTGCAAAATCTGAATAGCCAATAAATCAATCAAAAAATCGTTTCTCTCTGACATATTCTAAATTCAAATTACTCATGTCAATACTTTGAGATTCGAGGTTATCGATAAAGTCATGGTCATGTTTTTCCATTAATTAATCGTTTTACGGTATGGACAATTAAAAAAAACACAATTTTTTTTTCAACACAATCGATTGAATTTTCCAAAATGTGATGCCATGTTATGATATTGTACCCTGAAAAATCCGTAATCGGTTAAATACTGTTTATTGAATAAATCATAAATTGTGCGTATTCATCATTGGCTTCATTATGTCATTAATAAATATGCTTTTGTTTGGAAATTATAATTTACAATATCTGAAATGTAAACATATTTATTCCAGTTTTGATTGTAAGCCATAATGAAAAAGTGTGTGCTTTCGCTTGAACTCTTTCCACTCAATTCGAAATAAATGAGGATAAACCGATTGAAATCATTGTTGTTGATTTTAGCTGGGGTTTTTTCGTCGTGCGGTGGCTTGGAAGAAACCAGTGAATCGAATATAATATGGGAGATATATGCATGACCTCTGTGACGTATAAAAAATAATAAAAGAGCCGCTTGTGTTCGCGTGAGAGAGAGAGAGAGAGAGTGTGGTTTTATTTTCGGGCCGTATAAAAATGGGCTGCGAATGAATAAATGAAATGCTAATTTCCATTGTTGCTATTATAATTGGGGGCATGGTGGCTCCAGCGGATAAAGTATAATGTTGATTGAGTGATTTCTATGACCATTTCATGCGAATGAGTTCACCAGGTCCGCGGTTCTCGCGCGCACATACGTACTCGTTCATTTAACAAAGACTCATAATTTTAATTAACTGAAATTATCATATTTCATTCTGTCAATATTAATTCGATGAGATCATTTTAAATGCGACAATTACGTAATCCTGAATCGGTTCAATCTTCGCGTGGATTATGAATGCGGCTGTAAAAAGGCGCGCGTTAACAATTAACTGATGAAGGAACTGAGCAATTGTGCACATTTGCACCCTGTTTTTTATTTCTTTCGCTCACTTCACTAGATCCGATCCGATCCGATCCCATTCCGGCCGGTGTTTCGTTCGTGTCAAATCAATTGAAATGTAAATCAATTACATGTAAACGACAAGCAAAAACTTTGCTATTATTTTTTGGACACACGCAGCGCAACATAATTATTATTGTTGTGTTATTTGCTGCTGATGGAATAAATTTGTGAATGACAACAAATCATTCACGCAGTTCGAATTTATTAATTCTTTCGGACCATGATTAATTCGAATGGCATAACTTTGGCTTGCTGTTTGCATGTGTGCAAATGAAAGCAAGGCAAAAGAATGTAGGCGAAAAGTTTATGTAACTTCGGAGTTCATCATTTATTTATTAATTTTCGACCCTCACGAACTTCTATCTATCGCAAACCGGAGGACCATGTTTCCAAATCGAATTTCTGTTTGAAAATTCGGAGAAATGATCATTTGCACTCTCTTTGTTTTGGTCGGCAATTTTTATTATAGCTTCTTGACTATACGGAAGAACATTTTACCGTAGAAATTGGGTGATTTTGTAAAGCAAACACGCTTCAAACATTCTTCTTTTGTTCCCGTTGATGGGGAATGTATATATAAATCGGGCACTTCATGTGACTGACATTTAAATATTGAATTCCCCCGAAAACTTCTCGCATTCAACTGACTTGAAAGTCAGAGACAGGATGATGTGCTCACAACGGGATAAAGGCACAGGTATTTCGCATAATGTAATGGAAAAATGTTAAAGCAGAAAAAGAAAATGATAAATTCACAGTGCTTGAATATCTGGTGCTCGTGAGTTCGAAAGAAACGGTGTGTGATGCCGCTCTCGGAACCAATGTTCCAATTGCTTATTCTTATGGTAATGTAATCAATAAAAATGCTGCATTGGCAATGCGGCACACGAATGATAATAAACATATTTTTTTCTTCATCTATTTTCTTCGCTCTCTTCGTCGCTTTCTCGGTATACGTTTCGTTTGTGTCAAGGGGTGTTGAATCGTTCATTCGTTCATCCGTTCATTCGTTCATCCGTTTTCCAGCTTGCTCGCCA